GAGTCTGTATGATTTCCCCTGACCTTGCCACTGCCAGGTGCAAAGCTACTGTTTTGAAAATTGTCTTATTGATTCCTGTAGGCCTTATATGATACGTGGTATTTCATCTCAGCACCCTGACAGCTGTGTTGGTAAGTGGAGACTGCCTCTCTGGACAAGGAGTTGCAGCCTCCACTGCAGACTGCTGGCATTGTGTGGAGTTTTTCATGGCAAGGCCTTAGCGTTGCAAACTCCAAATGTAGTTCTGTGAATTCCCTGTAAATACCAAGATAACTGATGCTTTACAGGCCCTCAGTATTAGCATAGCTGAATGCTGTAGAAAGTGTTGCGAGTGCTGTACATATACTACTCTCTTTAATCTCCTTAATGCAGGAAGATTGTAGAGATGAATTTCTGTGGTGTTTTGTTTTTTTTTCTTTTTTTCTTTTTTTTTTTCCCTTAAACTGAGGTTTGTCTTTATCTTACAGTGAAGGGAAAGCTGGAGGGCCAGAAGCAGCTGACTTCTCTGATATCCTACATCTGGGTACCAGTGCCAAACTGGCACAACCTGGCTCTGCAGCAGCATTTTTTTCAAAGGCTACTCGTGGTGCCCTCCTGAGAGAATCGTACCAGAATCTGCCTGTCATCCGCTCCTGCTATCTTTCTCATTTTGTCCACTTGCAACCTACCCTTACACGTTCCCAAGCATCCTACCAAGGACGGAATTACCTCATCCAGTCAATGCTGCTTCCTGAGGTCAAAGGGCCCATCTTGCCTTCAGACTGGCCGTTCTTTCCGCTTATCAGCCTCTACAACAAAGTGACTAATGCAGAGACATGTGGGGCTGTACTGAACTCTCTCCCACTTGATTTTGTCAACACTGTGACCTGGAACCTGCAGTGGGTCTTGTTGCTAGAAACCTGGCGTGCTAAAACCCTGCAGAGCATCCCTACTGCTGCCAAACTTGCACGGCTTATGTGTGTCTTCCTTACAGGCAGTGACCTCTTTCTAGAAGCACCGATCCACCGCTACACAGCTGCCCTTCTCTCTGTGTATTGCCAGCCCAAGGCATTGGACTCCTTGAATTTGGATGCTCCTCTCCCTGGTTTGGCGTCCTTCCACGATCTCTATATAAGCCTCCTGGAGCAGTTTGAAGGTGTCTCCTTTGGCGATCCACTCTTTGGGACCTTTGTTCTTCTACCTCTACAGAAGCGTTTCAGTGTTCATCTGCGTCTCTCTATATTTGGGGAGCACACAAGTATCCTGCAGGCACTGGGAGTGCCGCTCCAGCAGGTAATCACAGAATGGTTGGGGTTGGAAGGGACCTCTGGAGATCATCTAGTCCAACGCCCCTGCCAAACCAGGGTTGCCTAGAGCAATCCTGGTTTATGGTAGTTGCATGTCACTGCATATTTCTGGGTTACTGGGCTCTTGCCTGTGTTTCTCCAGCCTTGATCTGGGCATCCCCCCAGCACTTCCTCTTCTTCCTCATCCCTCCTTGTCCAGTAGAATAATCGTGCTTTCTTTGCTTAGAAGAATTTCATTCTCTCCAAAGAAAGTTCAATGCATGGAATGTAAAATAGAATAGGAATGGAGACCAGTGTTCTTTTGATTTAGGGCTGTGACAGCAGTGTAGATTTTTGTTGTAGTTGTTATTTCTTCTTTTTTTTTTTCCCTAAACAGGTTGATTGATTGTAAGTCTGAAGAACAGAGTCCAGCCCCTATAGGTGCAGGCCCTTGTCACATAATCATTTTCAGAAAGCTGTTGAACTTTGTTTCGAGAGCAGATAGTGTGTGTATGTGGAGGGCAGGGGCTGTGAAATTGTTCAGTGGAAACTGTCCCACAACCTGCTTGGTCTAGTGATTGAGAACCTCCTTTTAATTTATAGCCTGTATGTACAAAGGGCAGTCTGCACCACATGTTCTTCTGCCAGCAGTTACCTTTCCTTTAAATGTCTATTCTCACCTTGGCGAGAACCTTTTCCTTGCCCAATGAATGGGCAATCATTTTCCCTCTCAACTATGTTTCCACATATAGTTGTACTGGAGTTGTACTTTGGGTAACTCCAGCAAGAAATTTTGATCTGTCAAGTGCGAGATGCAAGAAAATTGGATCTGCCAAGTGCAGGACTGCATTTTGTTTGAATGAGCAGAGCATAAGAGATGGAATTTAGCTGGCTTAAAGTTCTATGTCAGTTGACAGACAATACCTGATCTAGCCTAATGTTTGCTAATACAAAGATAACCTTTCACAATTTTTTTTCCAAACAACTGTGAACCAGCAGTTTATGTAAGATCATGGCTTTCCATTGTGTGGTTGCGGCGCTTTTGTTCTGGTTGTAGTATCCCTGCAGCCAGTTTTTCTATATCATTATGGCCAGATAAGCCTTTGTTTCTTAAGCCAGGTAAGCCAAGATTTTTTCTGACCTGCTTCTTATGGTAACCTCTCTGTTCTCTTGATGTTCCCAGTAGTCCTTCCCTGTCTCTATTCCAGTTTCACAAATATATGTAGGAACAGAACTGAACACCATATTCCAGATGAAAGGCTGGATTCTACATCACTGCTTTGTCCTGTCTTGATCCTTCAGCACTAGATCCCTCAGTACCATCAGAATTGTGGCATGTGTTACAATGGAGAACATTTCAAAGTGCATTGTTTTTCACATGCTTAGAAGTTTTTTAAATGTCACATACTTTGAATAATGTTTTCATTGCTGTATTGCTTCAAAACAAACTATGTATTGGAAAATTTGAGCAAGATCACTTGAGGAGGTGTTGTTTATTTGGGTTTTTTCCCTTTCTGTCTTGAGTAAAAAATAGCCTAGTGTGCAGTAGGAATATCCTACCAGGCAGACTGCTTTCTGAATTGAGTAAAATCAATGATTGTCTTTAATCATGCAAAGTAGATGCTCCAAAGTGATTTACATAATTTTAGTACTAGGGAGCTTACCTCAAAGTTGAGAATAATGAAAATTGGACTTATGGAGAGGGGAGACGCAAACAAAACCAAGTTGTTACTAAAAGCTTTTCTAACCTATTTTCTGAAGCTAGACAGTGAAGTCGGAAAATGTTGGAAACTTGACTTAACAATAACATTAACTCTGGTGCATATATCCGCTTTCCTTTTCTGGCTAAATGCATACATAAGTCAGCATAAGCCTCTCTGGTACATTAATGGGATGTGGTGCTGTTGAAAGCACTCTGTCTCCTCACTTTGAAACCACTCTTCTTACCTGTGCCAAAAAGCTACTGCGGTGATGTAATGATTAAAACATCTCTGCATAAAGCTAAAGAGGTCTCGAGGATGCTTTGTCAATGGCATGTCACATTTGTCAGTGTGAGCAGTAACAGCTCTGCTCCAAATGAGGATCATGCCACTGAGGTACATTGTGTTATATAGAAGTGCACGCACAAACAGCTGGGGAGGGGCACCCTAAAGTCGTGAACTTCCCCTCACTGCCTGGACCCTGACAAAAATTGTAATGTTGCCTCTGGATGGTTTTGTTGCAGTTTCCTGTGCCTCTCGAGAGATACACTTCCCCTCCTGAGGATAACCTGAACCTCCTGCGACTCTACTTCCGAACACTGGTCACTGGTGCACTGCGCCACACCCGGTGCCCTGTTCTTTACGTGGTGGCTGTGGCTCATGTGAACAGCTTTATTTTCTCCCAAGACAGCACGACACAGGTAGGTAATGGATAGCAGAGCCCCAGGGCGGGAAGCTTTGGGGTTTGCATCTGCCCTTCCCAAGGGTCCAGTGTGGCCTGTGGGGGAACCACTGACCCTGGCCATGAAAACAAAGACTGTATGTAAATGGTCTGAGGACTGGTCAGCTGTTTGAGAATCCACATATGAGACATGGACAGCAGCTCTTGTTCATCATATCCTAAAGCACTTGCATTAATGGTAGCCAATCCTACATAAACCTTCCAAGTCAGCAACTGCATGGGCTATGGTATGGGGGGGGAAGAATGAAGCGGAGAGGCTGAGGGAGCTGATCAGGCAGAGAAAGCTTGTAATAGATTTAGCCTTTGCCTGGGGCAATCTTAAGGTGCAGAGTACTCTTTCCTTTCACTTTGCTTGAATAACCAAGCAGAAGCCTTCCCATGGCCTTGGGGCCTCTAGCGGTTGCTACTTGTGCTAACACTTCACCTCTGATCTACAGTTCTACCTGAAAGTTGAGAATTCAGCTGGGTTTGAGGTTAGGGGGAAGGAGGAGAGAGGCAGGATCCAAGTGATAGGCGTCTCAAGCCCTTTTTGCTGGAACAAGCTGCTCTTTGGACCATCATCATAATGAGCAAAGCATTCTTCTGGAGTGCTGTACACCCATGGGCAAAGGTAGCATTGCGCCATACTAAGCAAAGTATGTGTTGTTCCCAGGAGACTGATGCTGCTCGGAAAAGCATGCTGCGGAAGACATGGCTGTTGGTGGATGAGGTAGGATCTGTAAGGTTCAGTCTGTGCCACTGGGACTTAAGTTTTTCAGATACGGTACTCTTACAGATTTACCTTTGGCTTTTGAAATTTGTGTTTTAACTACCTTGCTAATTTGAGAACAAGAGGAGATTAGCAGCAGGATTTTGACCTGTGATGGTTATAAAATACTGTTATCCAGTTCCTGTAGTAACTGAACCCAAACCACTGAGCCCATTGGAACCTAGATGAATCTCCTGTATTGTATTTCCATGTCTCTTGCCCAGGCAGCGTTGTATCTGGATAGTGAGAGGTCCTAGAGGGATGATTCTAGCACAACTATGAATAGCAGTGATCTCCCTTAACTCTTAGTTGGATGCTTCCCCAAAAAAGAACAAAACAGATGTAAGGTTTCTATTTTTCTCAGGGAGCTTGCCAAAGTCTGTCACTTGTGTGACAGAGATGGGTCCTTTGGCCCTTTATGTTTAGCATCCAGGGTAAATTCTTAGATCCCACTCAAAACCCCATTTGGGCTTCTGCTACAATTGAGGGGTTGTTGAGGAGAGGGTGGAGTTGTGTTCAGAAAAGGAATTCTCAGGTAAATCAAAAGTGAATTTTCTTGGAAGAAACTCACCTTTTATAGCTCTTCTGTTGAAGATGATGCAGTTAAATATGTTGGGCATGAAGGAATTGTACTATCTGGCCAGTCACTATGTTGTGTTAGAGACAGGGTGGAAACGATTAGATTCTTTTCAGTGCTTAATGGATGCTGTTTCTTTTTTCAGACCTTGAAAAAACACCTACTCTACTATAGACTGCTGAATGCAGAGAGCCCTTTGGGATTTGACCTTTATGAGCAGCTCCCTCCCATGCGACTGAAGTACCTGCAGACGGTGACACAGAAAGAAAGTAAGGAGAATGCACCAGCGCTAGTCTCATAGCAAAACACTTGTGCAAGAAGAGGGCCAAGGTGAAGAATGGAAGAGCTCCATTTATACTTTACTGATGAAACTAGTGCACTTCAGACCTTTTCAGTGTCTCACCTGGACACTCTTGGCATCTTTGCAAAGTGAAACACTAGTAGAATGCTCCCAGCCTTGCAGAACAATACACATCTTCTCAAGATAGGACAATATGTGTGTGTGGCCTTTCTGTGATGAATGCTGGACTATTTTCCTCCATTCTCTTTCAGATTATTCTCCTTCTCCCTGGAGAAGGTGAGAATGTGTCTGAAAGGCACTGAACTGTTGAATAAACTAAAGGAAGTGGAAAACTTATTTCATTCAGTCAGGCTGGAGATTGTGGGTACTCAAGACGATGTCTGTCTTCCCCAGATCTTTCCCTTGCTTTTTTGTACCATGAATTTTGAATGGTCGTTTCTCCATACCATCCCCTGCAAACAAAATGACAGTACAACAGGGAAGAAGCCGATCCTGAGAGCTCTTTTTAGGAAAAAAAAAAATAAAAAATCTGTATACAAGCAGTTTCTCCAGGACAGTGTTCTGTGCACACAGTCACACAGATGTATTGTGTCAGACCCCTAAGAAGTAATAGTTCCTAGTGCAGTGGTACAAAGACTGGATATCCTCCCTTGCCTGTCCTTTGGATAGTCTTTAAACTGCTTTCTTTTCTCCCTTAATTTGGTTACACGTATAACAAGATGAAAAATAATTTTTTTGCAGGGCAGGATGCTTGGCAGTAACCGCTCCCCATTAGAGGTGGAAAAAAAAAAAAAGTATCTGCTTGTTTAGCTAGAATATGTATTGATTGTCCTCTGAGAAGAGAGGAATGTAACTTAAATTTTAAAGTGGAGTTTCTAAGCTTAAAATTAATTTTAAAAATTCCTAATTTGATCCCACTTCTACATCCAAATTTTGTATTGCAGCCTCAGACACAAGGACTACAAATACAGTGCCCTAAAAGGCTCATCACAAGTGCCAGATCAAGTCCAGAGTTTACCCTAGGTGTGACCTCCCTGGATGTTTTGTTTATATCTAGCCATTTTTGCAGAACTACAGTCACTCTGGCAGGATTTTGTCTGGAGAACTTACTTAACTTTAAAAAGTTTTGTTCATATATTTCTTTTGTTTTGTTCTTATGAATAAATTTCTCTGGAAGATGCAAGGTGATGCTTAGCCTGAAGACCTAAGCTTCTCTCTTCACCTATAAACAGGCCAACCTAGCTTCCCTCCAAAGAAGCTATGCCTGTATTAACCTTGCTCCAGCGAATGTCCTAATAAGAATGTGAAAAGCTGTAATAGGCCAGCTTGTAATTGTTGAAATCATTCTAGTCAAGAAGCAAATTCTAGCTAGCAGCTTTATGGCTGTGGTGATGTCTTTGCATTGGCAGTTTTCCAAGTGTACCAGTCCCCCTTAGGTTGCCAGAAAATATGTGGTTTCATCTTTTTGCCCCTTATTTCAGACAAGGACATGGGCAAAACTGATGTTTCATTTTTAATCTCTTCCCCTCCTATTGCAGCTTTTGATCTGTGGTTTCTCTCTGCTGCAGATCAACGGCACATAAAGTAACAAAAGCACACTGGTCAACATGGGGGTTTTTTGTTAATTATTTTAAAAGTACTTGATGTGATTAAAAGTTTAATCAAAGGCATTCAAGTTTCTATTCTGTCTAGATGGTTAGAGCCCAGCAGTTGTCCTTCAAGACCAATGGATGGTAAAATTTAAGGACTCCTAGCTGCCCATTTAAGAGCAGCCTTCATCAAGGACTTTGCCTTTTGCTTTTCAGACCTCCGGTTATAAAAACTCTTCCAGTCCTTTGTGCGATGTAAAGTTGAGTTTTGTAATGTGTACAGGGTGTAAATAAATATTTTGATAGCTCTGCAGGTTTTTTTGAACTACGACAATGCTCCCCTTTATTTAAATCTTTGTTGAGTTTGGACAGTTCTGTTTGCAGTTTATCAGTATCTTGGGAATGTTACTGCTGCGAGGAAATCTGGTAAGGTTTGGAGCTCTGTAAGAGCTCTTCAAGCCAAAGGCAGCATCTTGCTTGTGTGGTGGGTCAGTAACACAGTATACCAAATGCTGTGTGTGCTTGGGGAAGGTGTAGGGTGGGTATTACGTGATTTGTCACATGCCATGCATGGGTGGGAAGACAGTAAAAAACTGTCCACACATGGTATTTGTAGGTGATAAGAGAGGAAGCAGATTTCATTTATTTTGTGTATTCTGGGAAGAAAAGGATCAGGCTTTTGTCAGATTTTCAAAAGGCCCTCTTGTTCCCAGATGTTCCTCAAGCCATCAGTGTATGCCCAGAAAATACCTACATCTTTTGACAAGAAATTCTGATGCACACATCAGCAATGGAGGGGAGGAAAGCAAAGGATCCCAAATAGTTCTGCAGGCCACAATTGCATGCATAACACTCTAAAGATGCTGCATGTAAGCTGTAAGCTTTCAGAACTTAGGCTGTCACTTGAGATGGTACAGCAATCCTAAGCTTGAATTTTTTTTTAAGACCTTGGGCAGCTTCGTATCACATTTCTCTGCAGAACACTAGAGGGCATTGCTTTATCTAGTTTAAATGCAAACTTTCTCGGCTTCAGTGTGATTGGGACTTAAAAAAAAAAAAAACCCAAACCAAAAAAACAACCAAACTTTAAACCTGGTTTTAATTTTCTACATTTCTTGGCTTTGCATATACTTTTGGAGAAATTGAGGAGAATTAAATATTTTTTTAAATGTGATTGGTTGCTAAGAATCGTTCAGTGCTTTGCCAGCAGGAGCATTTTGGAAAAACCCTGGTAGAGTGAACAGAAGCTTAAAACTTAAAACTGAATGCAGTCTGAAGTAGGACCAAAGTGTGCCAGCTCTGTTAATCCAGAAGAGTTCTGTTAACCCAGTGAGGAGATGAAAATGAAAACAGTCCCCAAAATTGATGTGACTTCTTAACTCCTTATCAAAAGCTTAAGATTTCTTTGAGAAGAAAAGAATTCTGCTGAAATAAGACCTACAAATAGTTTTCTGGGGTTGAAAAGGTTCCAACTCAGAACAGCATATCTTGTCTTATAACTCTGATCAGAAGACAAAGAAAACACCAACAAAATAAAAAAAATCCCCACAGATGCTGTCTTTTAATTCTTAGGAAGGGGAGGGGGAACAAACAAAACCACAAATTACTTTTGGTCCTTTGTGGCTACAAAATGCTTGGTTTCATCCAAGTTACTGATGTTACCCCATGTAGGAGCAGTGGGAATCTGTATTGGGACAAATTCAGCAGGGTCTGTGCTGGAAGACAGCAACAACATGGTTTTAAAAACAAGTGGTTGATTGCACTGGAGATGAGTTGAAGATAATCCTAGTATTGCTGTTGAGCTAGCAGGTAACATAGTGGGGGCTGTCACAGTTTTACATCCCATAACTTTAATGGCAGCCGTTTTCTGCATCCTACTGAATCTTTCTTTGCATTTTGAAAAGGGAGAGAGGGTCTTCTCCATCAGCTTGGAAGCATGTCCTTTTCAACCTAGAAGAAATGGAGTTGATTTGTGATCCTTTGACCATGTGAATGATTTGAATTCCCTGGGTTTAGGATCCGTATGTGGTGACTTGGCACACTTTGCTGAGCAGGGGCAGTTCCCAAAGAAGATGTAGGCAACTCAGTGGCTGGCACTGCTACACACTGAGGTAGGGCGAAGCCTGGCAGAAGAAAGTAAAGAGTTAGGCAAGGAAGAAATCAAAATAGGACTGAAACGCCACTGTATGGGAACTTTTTAACAGTAAACTACACATGACGCATTATATGATTAAAGCCCTTGCATTCCACTTTATTTATTGACTGCTTCAGTTTGACAATGGAATTTAATAATACATTTCTAGACTAATGCATTGTCTGTCAACTTAGTATCAGGCAAACCCTAAACACCTTTTGCTGATGAAGTCCTGGACAGATAGAGCAAACCATAAGATGTGAGTGTATAAATATACTAGGGGTCAGACAAATGCATTTCTTTTGGTGTCAGACAGAAAGTAGAGCAGAAAGGTATGTTCATCCTCGCTTTTGCTCCTGTCTAGTTCTGTGAAGTTCTCCTTGGAAATCTCTCATCAATGAAGTGCTGCTGCTTCCAGCTGATAATCAAATTAGGGGGCAAAACATGTTTTCTTTCAGCTTACAGAAGCTTGTATAAGCTCTCCATTCACAAAGCTCGCCCTCTGATATCCCCTATATAAATAACTTTATGGTAATTTACTGGCCTTTGCCCTAGTTTTTAACAACTGGCTTTTCCCTCCCTGCCTTTGAATGGAGAACGTGCAGTGAAGACATGCTCTCAGAACTGCTGTTTTGTGTGGTGAGTGGTGTTTGCACACAGGGGTAAAAAAGCCACCCTGTGTTTCCCTCCATTTTTGTGGTAATCTTGGGTCTCAAAACAGCTGTTGCAAAAATGCTGTATGTGGATTTCTGGCCAGCCCCAGCTCAGAAAAGCGTAAAGAGGTCTTTATTTTCTGCTGGGGCATAACTAGCAGATACTGAGAGGCACCTGTGGCTCCAGAGACCAGAGCAATACCCTTTATCCCGGCTCTGGGCAACTTTTTTGCAGTACTCTGTGGTCTGTTGAGCAACCAAGTCATAAGTCCAGTCAGGGCAATGAATATTTCCAGAAAGTACTGTATATGGACATCATAACAAAGTCTAAGATGTATGGGGAAGGCCAGGGGTCTTTACCCTCTCTATCCCCTCACCCCAGTCTAACATGGATGACAAACCAGACCACTGATGTTAATGCTCATTATGAAGCAGCAGCTTGTCCTGGCCACAACAAAAAGGGGGCTTGCATTACCTAGAAATACTGCTGATGTCAAAGCACAGCCACGTGTGTGACAGTGTATGCTAAAAATCTGAGGTTGGTGTGTTAGTTGATTGCTAAGGCTGGAAGGAAGTTTTCTGGAACAATCTGGATGCTGGGAGCCTGTCCTGAGGGGCAGCAGCTGTGGGGCTGGGCGGGTAATGGGGGACACCTGGGCCCAGCACCAGCCCTCAGAGAGCTTGTGGAGGGGCCAGCAGCAGCAGCAGGAAAATACTGTGTTTCATCCATTTTCATCTGATTTTCTGGAGCGCTGGGTAGCTGGGAGAGACTGTCAAGGCTGCAGACCAGGTTGGCAATCTTAAACCATGTGTTTCATGTGCTGATGTGTTTCTGTTTGGCTGAGGCTTTTTCCTGGCTGAGGTGATTGCTGTGGTTTTGTGGCTACGCTGATGGTTGCCTCATGCTTCCCCCAAGGAAGGAGAGAGGATTGCCTGAGT